ATTTGCTATAGCACACCATTTTTTTAGTGATCCGGATTCGAACGTCAAAAATGCTGAAATTTTTTATAGACGTCCGTCAAGACCTTGTCTATGCATCCGGTTCTCTCTCACGTCAAAATAGGGGTTTAACCTGTTGAAGGGCTCGTTTGACCTTGAAAATGGGTCATTTTGACCGTGGTGACCAACCGGATCCATAGATAAGGTCTTAACGGATTTCTATTTGGCAAAAATAATCTCCGAATTTTGGATCACCAAAACAGATGATGGACTATAGCACTTGAAAATCTTTAAAATGGGGGTTTACCTGAGGCTTGTTTGACCATGCAAATGGACCGTTTTGGTAGCGGTGACCAATCGGATCCACAGATAAGGTCTTAATGTATGTCCGTTTAGATTTTTGGTAAAATGATATTGCAATTCTAAATCATCAAAAAATATGGTGGACTAGCACATGAAAAATCAGCAAAATAGGAGGGGTTACGTGCTCTAGGCTCTTTTGATCTTGAAAATAGGTTGTTTTTGCTGTGGTGACCAACTGGCTCCATAGATGTGGTCTTAATGGACGTTCGTGAAAATTTTTGACAAAAATTATCTCAAAATTCTGGATCACCAAAAAAGATAGTGGATTATAGCAATTGAAAATAGGAAAAATGGGGGGTTTACCTACTTCGATTTTAGTTTGACCTTGAAAATTGTTGTTTTAGTCTTGGTTACCAACCTACTCCATAGATAAGATTATAACGGACGTCTGTTAAATATTTTGCAAAAATGATCTTGAAATTCCAGATCACCAAAAAAGATGGTGGACTATAGCACACTAAAATTGACAAAAACAGGAGTTTACCTACTCTAGGCTCGTTTGACTTTGAAAATAGATCTTTTTGGGCGTGGTGACCAACCGACTCCATGTATAATTTCTTAATGGATGGTCGTGTAAATTATTGGCAAAAATAATCTCTAAATTCTCATTAAAAAAAGGTGGACTATAGCACATGAAAAATCAACAAGATGGGGGTTTACCTACCTCGACTCGTTTGACCTTGAAAAGTGGTTGTTTTGTCCATGGTGACCTACCGGCTAAATAGATAATATATTAATGGACGTCCTTGTAAATTCTTGGAAAAATTTATCTTGGAATACTGCATCACCAAAAGAGATGGTGAACTATACTATATGAAAATCGGTAAAATGGGAGGTTTACCTGCTTTGGGTCTCGTTTGACCTTGAAATGAGCTGTTTCGGACATGGTGATAAACCGGATCCACAAATAAGGTCTTAGTGGATGTCCATGTAAATTTTTTTCAAAAATGATGTCGAATTTCTGGATCACCATTTATGGACTACAGCACATGAAAATCAGAAATGTGTGAAGTTTACTTACTCTGGGGTCGTTTGGCCTTGAAATGGGTCATTTTGACTGTGGTGACCATTAAGTTCAAAATATAAGGTATTAACATATGTCCGTGTAAATTTATGGCAAAAAGGATCTCGGTATTCTTGATAACCAAAAAAGATGGTGGACTATGGGGGTTAACCTGCTATGTGGCTCGTTTGACCTTGAAAATGGATCGTTTTGGGTGTGGTGACCAACCGTTTCCATATATAAGGTCTTAGATGTTCGTATTTAATTTTGACAAAAATGAACTTGGAATTTTGGATCACTAAAAAAGATGGTGGACTATAGCACACGATGGCAAAAAAGGGGGTTTACTAGCTTTGGGCTTGTTTGACCTTAAAAATGAGGGGTTTACCTTCTCTAGGATCATTTGACCTTGAAAATGTTTCATTTGGCCGCAGTGACCAATGGGCTCCATAGAAATGGTTTTAATGGATATCCGTGTAAATTTTTGAAAAAAATGATCTCGAAAATCCGAATTACCAAAAATGATGATGGACTATTAGCACACAAAAATAAGGAGTTTACCTGCCATTGGCTCATTTGACAATGAAAATGGATTGTTTTAACCGTGATGACCAATCGGCTGTGTAAATTTTTTGCAAAAATGATCATGGAATTCTGGATCAGCAAAAAAAAAATGATAGATTATAGCCACGAAATTGGAAAAAATTGAGGGTTTACCTACTCTAGGCTTGTTTGACCTTGAATATGGGTCGTTTTGCCATAGTGACCAACCGGCTCCATAGATAAGGTATTAACAAACATCTCTGTAAATTTTTGTCAAAAATGATCTCAAAATTTTGGATCACCATAAAAGATGGTGGACTATAGCATGTAAAATCGACTAAATGGGGGGTTTACCTGCTTTGGGCTTATTTGACCTTGAAAATTGGTCATTTTGATCGTGGTGACCAACCGGCTCCATAAATAAGGTCTTGACGAACGTCTGTGTAAATGATTGGCGAAAGATATCTCGGAATTTCATATTACAAAAAATATGGTGGACTATAGCACACGAAAATAGGCAAAATTGGGGGGGTTTACCTGCTCTGGGCTCGTTTGACCTTGAAAATGGGACGTTTTGGCGGTGGTTACGGACCGGCTCCATATAAGGTCTTAATGAACATCCATTTAAATATTTGGAAAATATAATCTCAAATTATCAAAAAATATGGTGGACTATAGTACACGAAAATCCACAAAAAATTTGAACATTAGTCGTTTTGATCGTGTGACAAATTGGCTCCATAGATAAGGTCTTAACCGACATCCGTGAATTATTTTAGAAAAATGATCTCGACATATCTTAAAACACCAAAAAATGGTGAACTATACGAAAATTGGAAAAATTGGGGTTTATCTCCTCTAAGACTCGTTTGAACTTGAAAATAGGTCATTTTGGTCGTGGTGACCAACCAACTCCATAGATAAGGTCTTAACTGACGTCCGTGTAATTTTTTTGCAAAATTATTGTAATTTTGTATCACCAAAAAAATGGTGGACTATAGCACACAAAAATGGGCAAAATTGGGGGTTTACTAACTCTGTGGCTCGTTTAACCTTGAAAATGGGTCATTTTGATTGTGGTGACCAACCGAATCCATATATAAGGTTTTAAAGAACGTCCTTGTAAATTTTTGGCCAAAATAATCTTGGAATTTCGGGCACCAGAAAAGATGATTGACTATTGCACACGAAAATCGGCAAAATGAGGGGGTTTACCTGCTTTGGGCTCGTTTGACCTTTAAAATAGGATGTTTTGGTCGTGGTGACCGACTGTCTCCATAAATAAGATCATAACGGATGTCCATGTCAATTTTTGGCAAAAATGATTTTGTAATTTCGAATCATTAAAAAAGATGGTTGACATGAATATCAGCGAAAGCTCGTCTGACCTTAAAAATAGATCGTTTTGGCTGTGGTGACCAACCGAATCCATAGATAATGTCTTAATAGACTTCTGTGTAAATTTTTGGCAATAATGATCTCGTAATTTTGGTTCACCAAAAAATATGGTGTATAACACACAAAAATTGACAAAATTATGGTGTATAACACACAAAAATCGATAAAATATGGTGTCTGTGGTGACTAACCGTCTCCATAGATAAGGTCAAATAGATGTCCGTGTAAATTTTTGGCAAAATGATCTCAGATTTCGGATCACCGAAAAAATTGTGGACTATATCACACGAAAATTGGTAAAATTGGGATTTTACATGCTCCAGGCTTGTTTAACTTTGTAAATGGGTCGTTTGGCCGTGCTGACAAATAGTCTCCATTGATAAGGTCTTAACAGAAGTCCGTGTAAATTTTTGGCAAAAATGATCTCAAAATTCTGGATCACCAAAAAAGAAGGTGGACTATAGCACACAAAAATCGGCAAAATGAACGGTTGACCTATTATGGAGCTCATTTGACCTTGAAAATGGGTCCATATATAACGTCTTAACGAACTTCCGTGAAAATTTTTGGCAAAAATGATCTCAGAATTCTAGAATTGCAGAAAAAGATGGTGGACTATAGCATACGAAAATTGGCAAAATAGGGGGGTTTACCTGCTCTAGAACTTGTTTTACCTTGAAAATGGACCGTTTTAGCCATGGTGACCAATTGGTTCCATAGATAAGGTCTTAACGGGCATCTGTGCAAATTTTTGGCAAAAAATGATCTCGGAAATTAGGATAACCAAAAAAGATGGTGGACTATAACATACGAAAATCAGTAAAATGGGGGGTTTAGGTGCTCTGGGGCTCGTTTGACCTTGAAAATAGACCGTTTTGGCAGTGGCGATCAACCGGCTCCATAGGTAAGATCCTAACGAACGTCCATGTAAATTTTTGAAAAAAATGATCATGGAATTCCGGATCACCGGAAAAGATGGTGGACTATAGCACTAGAAAATTGGTAAAATGGGGGGTTTACTGCTCTGGGCCCTGTTTGACCTTGATAATGGGTCGTAGTCGTGGTGAATAACCGGCTCCATATATAAGGTCTTAACAAAAGTCCGCGTAAATTTTTCGCAAAAATGATCTCGAAATTTCGAGTCATAAAAAAAGATGGTGGCATATAGCATGAAATTTACAAAATAGGGGGTTTACCTGCTCTGGAGCTAGTTTGACCTTGAAAACTGATCATTTTGACCGTGGTGGCCAACTGGCTCCATCGATAAGGTCTTAATGGATGTCCGTGTATATTTTTGACAAAAATGATCTCGAAATTTTGAATCACCAAAAAACTATTATGAAGGTTACATGACCAAGTGTTGATCGTGGTCAACCTAAAACTTTAGAAACACAAGGGATCAAATTCTAGGTCCAAAACACCTCTTAATGCCTCAGAAACTTTGCTTAACCTTAAACTACACTACAAATCACCTTATAGAGCTAGAGAAATGACCAAAATCATAATAGACCTCACCAACCCCAAGTCATAAATAGCTAATCACTACTACGAGGATGGTCATACAAGGGAAAAGAAGTAAAAATCCACAAAATGACCTTCAGGATCATTACATCAAGAAACTCATTTTCAAAAAAAAAAAAATATATATATATATATATAGCTTTTCAAAACATTTTGACGAAAATATAGAAACATCTTCATATCAAACAAACCCTTAGGATATTCATCTCCGCTGAAAATATTGTTTATACTGTTAAAGCCAAAAGAAGGCCTTAAACTATGAAATGTGAATTGCAAATTTTGAGTAAACTGTCTAAAAAGGAATGTGAACAAAATACATGGGTTCAAATGAACTAAATGTCCATTCAAATGTCACAAAATACTCTTTAAGCTTTTGTATTCTTTCTGAAGTCGATGCAAGTCTGGCAATCGCAATCTGAGAAGCAACACACTTCACATCCAAAGCACACACATGAAGTGCAACCTCCACATGTTGGTGAAAGCAAACATCCCTTACACGCCCTTCGACTAGCTCGCTCTTCAGCATCATCACATGAAAATCTAAGAAAACAACAAGTAAAACATGTTACCAAAGATGAACATTCTGATTATTTAAGAAATTAAGTATGAAAAGAAAACTTACTTGTCGAAAGGAATATCTGAGCACTGAAAATTAGCATTGGCCAATGCATCATGGTAGCTCCTGCATTCATTCTTAGAGCGGCGATAAAACCTACGTCTTTTACTGCACTTGGTACATTTGATAAATTCATCACGATGAAGAACAAGTTTATGTGGCCTCTTGGCATTCTTTGGAGACATGTTGTAGAATTTCAGTAGTGTAGTCTTTATCAATGGAACTTTATAACCATCAATAAACACCCAAATATTATGTTTCCATCTGTTATTCTCTTTTCCAGCATGTTTCTCAAAGGCAAATGGACTAAGATTATCTAATCACCAAAATAGATAATAAGAAAGGATAAATTATCTTGTTTCATAAAATAAAACAAATATAATAATAACATGCTAATTATTAAGTGATGAGAAAAAAAAATAGTAGGATATCAAATTACTAAAATAGATAAGAGCATACCAATAATCAAGTGATTACACTGACCACAATTAAGAAATAAATTGTCTACTATTTTTACTTGCGGTTCTCAAATTATTTTATTGATCACAAAATCACGAGAATGTGTGTATATATAAAAGTTATGAAGTACTTAATTATCAAATTTCAACCTCTTCAAAGCTAATCAACTCATTATCAAAAGCTCAGTTTTTTTACCAATAAAATTATCTATAGAGAAGAGTCTACACATGCTTATAAGTTTAGTTGAATTGTTATTATCTAAATAAATTATAATGTACTATAGCAAACATATAGATGAAATTTTAATTAGAATATACCATTAGTCAAATTTAAAAAAAAGAAAAGCATAACAACATTTCATGATAAGTCGATGATAAAATTAATCAACAACATGCATTTAACATAAACACATTATATTGTATAAAAGCACAAAAAAGGAATATATTAAATTGATGATTTTATGTATATAAATGGTAAAAACCTTCAGGGCAGCCATGGTAACATTCGCAAGCAATTTTGAGTTCACCGGACTTGAAAATCCTAAGTCTAGCACCAGCATCGCCATGTCTACGACTGGTGCATCCACACACAACCTCCACATAGTCATCTCCTTTCTGCAACACGCTCATATCGCGTAGCTCCTCTTCGCAAAACATTTCTCCTCACCGCTTCTGTTACTGTTCACACAGTCAAAAATCAAAATTGTTAATATAAAGATCAATTTTTTAATAAAAACTTACGAAAAAAAAAAGGAGAAGTTGATCGAAGAAGGTGAGTATAATTTAGAGATGCCGATATATAAAATTGATTATACGGAGAATTCATTGGGAGAGAGAAGAGAGGAGAAAAACGAGAGAAAGATGGACAAATGAGGTAATTTTATAGAGAAATCACCTGAGTAAGAAAACAAATTTAACAGATCGGGGATGGGTGGCGGGGGCGGGGTGCAGGAGGCGGGGCGATGGTAAGGGCCGGCGGAGTTTATTTATCTTCGCTATGCTACAATATCGAAATGCGGAAAATGAAAAAAAAAACCTAAAACCTAAGAGAAAGAAAGTAACGGATAAAAAGTTAGATAGAAGAATGGAACAAATGGGCAATAATGACTATATCAATGTCAAGACCACCTATTAAAATTACCAAACAAGCACCTAAATTACAGTATTAGACAAACAATCCCAACAACATTTTCTAGCAACTATGCCCTTAGCCTCAAACTATCTTAAAGAGTAAACTCAATTCATGAGAATTCATCATATCAAAATAATGTACCTAATTAAAATGACTAAAAATCTAGTATGTATACTCAGTTAATTAGACTAATAGTAAAGTTTAATAATAGTCATTACAAAATACTCTTAATAAATAAAGGGTCATCTTACTGTAGTTGATCTTCTTAGTCAAGAAACTTTTATTTTAAGGAATAACTATATTGCATTATAGCCTTTTTCTTTAATTACGTTTTTCAAATCCCTTTCAAACCTCCAAAGTATTGACTTTGATGTAAAACCTCTTTTAACTCTTTATCATGACTTGGTGTGCATGCATCATGTTACGTGAAATTTACTTCTAACATTTATTGCATGAAGATTTTATTAAGCCATTAAAACAGTAAATATTTATTTAAAAAATGGGGAAAAATGGAAAAATATGATATTATGATCGATAATATAACTTTTCATTTAGGATCTTTGCACTTGTAATATGACTAGTCTTGATTACATGCTTAGCATATATATTCCTTTTGATTATATTTTAATGCAACTTTTTAAAGATAATAAATCTTATATTTTAATATACTTACATTTAAACATTAATGATTGCATAATAATTTAGTTTCAAAGCACAAGTTATTAGAGGAACAATGTTAATTTAGTGTTGAAAAAGGTCTTTTTTTTAAAAAAAAAAACATCTAATATTTGATTAATTAGTTTTTTATTAAAAAAATAATTTAGTGTATACACATATATATATTTATATATATATGATTCAATTAAATATACATATAATTATATACGATAAATATTATTAAATTGAATATTTTGATTAGAAATTAATCTAAGAAAGTGAGCAAGTCATTAACATTTTTATTAAAACGATACAGTGGAGAACTAATCTAGAAAGTGCAGAAGTCATTAATAAAATCTAATATTTAAATTAAATAATTAAATGTGTGTTAATAACAATATAATTTATAGTAGATATATGATATGATACATGCTAATCCAACCTTACATTTTATATGATATATGGTGTGAGAAGAAAGCAATCAAAGAACTCAACAGCTCCAAAGCTGCTTGTCTTTGCTCTCTTGTATTGTCACAGTGCTGCCATCATTGTAGACCTTGCAGCCTCTTTCTTCATCTCCGCGGCTTTGCCACTTCCTCGGAAATACATGTACACTTGCTGCAGATGGCACAACGCATCGAAAGATGTTCAGGTAAGAGAAGACAGTAAAAGCAATGAGATAGCAAGCACAAAGCTTCAACCTGAATAACCCATATGCTGGTCAGGGATTCAATACAGAAGAATGCAAATCCTATGAAGTAGAATACCTGCAAGTAAAAAAGACTTACTTGTTAAGTCAATGAAACGTTTAAACGTACTCGTTAAGTCAAGAACTTGAAGCTTACCCCAACCAAACCATTCCAGCCTATCAGATCAATTGCAGGCAAGATGCCACTGTTAAACCAGGGAATAAGGAAAGGTCGTTATATTTTAGCATACATACGTAGTTCAAAACGTATACATTTAAGTCAAAGAGTGAGATTCAGCCGAGCATGGTTTTTATGATGGTAATGCAAAAGGATTCCGTATTCTAGAATCTCATTTTACCAGCACAGATTGCTTCTTCAAATATGGCAAAGCAACTTACGCTAAAGATTTTCCTTTGAAGAATATGGGAGGTGCCACAGTAGCAATGATGCAGAATCCAATGTGAAACTACAACATGAATATAAACAATCAATACTTTTCTCAATAATCAACTGCAATAGAAGAGGAAAAACTGAAAAGGGTGATGTAACATTTACGAGATAACATAAGAAGAACCATCCAAATTTCAGTGCACTATCCGTCCTGCAGACGAAATGGACATAAACATTTTGCAAGGCAGAAGAGAAGAGCATTATCAAATAAATACAAGAAAGGTAATGGTGAAAATTATTTACCACAATGAGGGAATACAATATAGTACCTCATTGCATGATACAGAGGACGATACCACAGCACATAGGCTCCTGGGACACCAGATATTAAGTAGATGATAGCAAGAAGCCAGATAGTTATACCTACAATAACAAAAAGAAATCTACTGGTTAGTTGTCATTGCAGATAAAAAAAAATTGTTTTAATCTAGTTCAGCAGCAACCTTCTCCTTTGATCCAAGCTGAGGTAACTGCTATAAGGTTCCATAGAAGACAGGCTACCAAACCTGCAATTCACCATGTGCAAAGTAAATCGATAAGTGCATTATCAAGAGAGATCAATCAAAGCTATTAAAAAGGAATTTTGATAAGCCTATACCTTGTCCTAAATCATTCTAATAAACTATTCAGGAATTTTTTTTGCTCTTTTATCTTTAGTTGGAGTGGCAGCTTTGAGATGCAATTTTTCTTAAAACATCACTACCACAAACATGACTTACAAAGCTAATCCAAATACCAAACTTGTCAAAAAAGCAAGTTTGTTTATTCTAGATCATCCACATTTGAGTGTCATTTAAATCATTTGCGTAACAAGTTTGTTGCCTGAAAAATGGGTTTGTGATTTAGATATCTCAAATGCAAATGCATTAATACTCCTGATAGCTGGAAAACAGTAGTACAAATTTTGTTTGGAATAAACCAACCAACTATAAGCAGAAAGAATGATCACTATGCATCTTGACCTCCAGTAGATAGGTAAACTAAAAGGTTGTAGAATATTTGCTAGCATGTTCAACTGAGAAGTCTTACGAGTATCCGTTCACTAGGGGGCTATGCAGAAGACATTAAAGGGAGTTAGATCGACAGACATACCCAACCATGTAAAAAATGCAACATACTGCAACTTCTGTAGATGGATTGGAATTTCATTTGCAATATCATGGTGAATAATGGGGAAGAAAGGTGGCCAATTCTTTTCCTCTATGACAACTCCAGCTGTAGTGTATAACCAAAAAAAGATCAGCTCACATGTGGGGAAGAATCAATCAAAATAGCTTAATATAGTTCATATTTACAAAAATGTATACATTAGACCGGAGACCTACCTCTAGCTATAGCATCTTCCCTCCTTTTCAGATCCTAAATGAAACCAACAGAACAGCCAATTAACAGAATATAAAATGCACAAAGAGAAATATAGTCTATACCATAGATTGTTTTAAACACTAACTTGAGGAATGTAGCTAACACAAACTTTCTCCGTACTAACAAAAAAGCAAATGAGGTATAATAGTTTCCAGAGCTAGATACAACAATCACATGATATTCATACTTGATGAACCTCTGAATTGACAAAAGATCGTTGACACAAGCAGTGAACTTAAGTTGTTTCTAATATGTAAGAAAAGCAAAAGCAAGATAAGTACCAGTAGCGACAATAGGATGTAACACAAGCTTACCTGTTCTAATTTTTTTAGTTCAGCTTCTTTAGCTTGGAGTTCTTTCTCTTTATTCTTCAGATCCTGAATTGTTATATGAGAGCAGTATCATTCAATCCTATCCCTCGCCAAACACAACAGTAATGTGGTCGAAAAATGTACAAAAGTTAAAGTTTGATTATTCTGTTTCACCTTCGGATTATCAAGAGGGATATCAACTGTTGCACCACGATCATAGTCAGCAGGTTCATGAGGAAGAGGTGAAAGCCTTGAGTTTGTAGCAGGAGGAACACTTGCAGGATTCTGAAGATTTAGAGAATAAAATAGTGCATAAGCAAGATAATACATAATCATTAATTGGTATGAGAACAAAGACATGCAAATCGATATTCTAACAAATTCAAGAATCAAGATCAAGCCTTCACATTAATATGTAGAAAAGAAAAGGAAAAGAAAAACTCAAGTTCACATGATAAAGGATTTCTGTTACATTTATATTAAAGTTCAATCTAAACTAGATCATAAACCAGAAGCTCGCAGCAGTGCTTAAATTATGTCATGAGAAAAGGACAAGGAGGAGGAAGAAAACACAGCCTTTATCATGAGGTAGTGTGGGTAGATATCTTGATTTTTTGACTGACACAGCGCGCAAACAAGGTCTCAAAATTAGCTACAGTACACCAGAGGAGAAAGGTTTGACAGGCAATACACCGTATAAGAAGAATACTGACAACAGGAGAAAGGGTAGATGGTTTAAAATTTGTAACAGGACAACATAAAAGACAAATTCTAACTCCCTCATTTTGTAAACCATTCACCAGTTGTAGCTGAAAAATGAGTTAGCATCTTGTGTATGCATTTCAAAGAATGCCGATATGTTTAGAAATCCATTGTTTCTTTCTAGGTAATGGGGGTCCTTCTCACAAAACAAAACCCTTAGCCTTTGCCTTTTTGAGCAGGATCAATGTCTTTTCAGGATCTTTACTCATTTACAGTTCTCAGATTAGCAGGTTGTACTACCTCCGTCTAAACTTTCTGACATTCTTTCCTTTGTGCAATCTGGGATGTCCAAAAATGCTTGACTATATTTCACTCCTATACATTTTTCAAAACTTCTAAATATTCATATACATTAAACTATGTCTAACTAATTTTAACCAATAACCCTTATTCTTATATTTTTGAATACCACTAAATATAATATATTTAGTGCACACAGAAAAGTATGGATAAGGTCTCCATACATCTTGCCCTCCCCATATCCCACTTATGGATTACACTGAGTAAACTCTATTGTAATATATATATATAAGTCAAATTAAAATCTTTAACCCCGCACACCATCAATACCTTCATATAAATAGGGACAATGAAATTATTAGTTCTGAGCAATTCGGAGTTCAAAACTGAGAAATCAAACCTGGAGGAAAGTAATAACCTTACCATCATATAAAATGGACCGCTACCATAATTCGATTGACCCTTTCCTCGAGTCCCTTGGTCC